TTGCGGTGGCAGGTTGTGCATAAAAATCGAGGATTTCGATTCATAGTATCCTTTTGGATCTTTCATGCCATAGGCCTGTAGGTTACAGACCTCATAGCTGATCTTATGATTATAAAACAGGCGTTTTGCTTCTGGTGAAGACCAGAGCCTGCTGTAGTATGGGTTCTCAAGAACAAAGTAACGTCCGAGCTTCATTTGGTGGTCTGCGACCGATTCACAGAATTTTTAAACAGAAAGTCTCTTGGCAGAGCCTTTCTTCCACTGTGAGTACCAGCTAGACCACTGAGAATGGTCCGGTGACATAACAATAATAGTAGGTTATTGTTCCTTGATGATCCTAAGAAGATTGGAGCGACCTTGCGGTTGCTCAAGATCTAGACCGCTACGCAAATCGACTGGCTGACCTACTCGAAGACCTGACAGGGCAGCCTTGTGACTCATGCGGGGAGATCCGCCGTAGAGTTCTAGAAAGTCAATCTTCCCAGTGCTGGTGACCTGCCAGTGACACTCTTGATGTGGAACCGTTAGGTCTGTCGACTGCAGGGAAGCATCAAAGGTGACCATGCAACTTGCGTGGTCAGAACCTTCTGACGTCAGAGTTTCCTAATCAGGCGCGAGAGGAATCTCCACATCAGATGTTATGTCATAATTTTCCTCAGTTTTGAGATATTAACGCGGACGATGCGTGTTCCAAGATCCACACCTACCATGGATCCTCCGAGTTCGGAGATCACCTTTCCTTTTAGCCAAGATCCATGTTTGGACCCAGTGGATCCAATCTTAGACTTATATTCTGACCAGTAGAAAACCTTATCTCCCAAAGAGAAAGGTCCTTGGGTCATTGACAGTCTGGCTGCAAGATCTCGACGCAGATCATCAGATTGGCGTGCCTCTTGGTAAGCCCTGTTGGCAAGCTCCTTAATGGCTCTCGCAGTGACTTCCGTATCAGTTGGATTACCTGTCAACTGATTGGGATCAGCGTTCTCTGGTGTTATAACATCTCGAGGACGCCTTCCAAATGCCATTTCTAAAGGAGTAACTCCTCCGTAGGTAATCGAAGAGTTTCTTGCCAAACATGCTTGGCGAACGAGGTTGCCATACTTCATGGTGATTCCGTTATACTGCGGGTCACCATCCTTCAGGATCTGAAGTATGAGCTTAATCTGATGCTTCAGCAATCTTACAGCAGCTTCGGCCCTGTTGGGCCATGGGGTTCCAGGTCCTGTTGCCACAGGCTTGATATTCTGCCGATTGTAATAAGCCTCCATTTTTGGAGTCATGAATGCTTGATCTCCAACTACAACCTTTGGGTTGATCTGAAATTTCTCAAAGTAGTCATTCAGAATCGACATTGTAGTATGCTCTTCTTTATCCTGGACTACTTCGGAAGTCAACAGGTTTGTTGCTCCGTCATAGAGAATAAGAAATATTAAGCGACTATCCTTGCCGGGAATTGGAAGCTCACCGTGATCTACGAAGGTGAGATCACCGAAAGTCTCTGATCTTAAACCAGAAATCTTCGCTCTTGAAGGAGCTCTCACATGTTCCTGGCAGGCTGAACACTTTTTGACAAGTTGGTCATATAGCTCGTATATCTCCTTTGGGATCTGTAAGGCTTTTGTGCGTCGCTTGAACTGATCCGTACTCATATGACGGTGCTTAAGGTGAAGCTTAGAGAGTTCTACAGGGTCCTTAAGCTTCTCATGAATCCTGCGAAGAGCAATGGGAAGAGATGGCGATGGTTCCGCGACAATCTCTTCACCTGTAGGTGAGTCTGTACCAGGAGCCGGGTATTCTCTTGACTCAAGTGGTCTTACCTCCGTCCCGTCATCAGCTCCTGGGACCTTGGACTTCTCTTCAACAGGAGGTTTAACCGCATATTTGCGGGATTTCTTCAGAAGGTTTTTAAGACCCTTTGGAGTCTTTATCTTCGCAGGTGGGACCTCAAGTCTTTCTTCTTCTGGAGGTTCATGTGGTGCAGAGGATTCTACAGGTTTGTCCCTAGAGCCTGATGATGGTTCCGATGGTCCGGAAGGCTCAGGAGCATCACCAGATGGTTCTGGTGGATCAAGTTTCTTGGCAGATGATTCTGCCGGATCAGATGGAAGAGGCTTCTTTTTACCTGAAATCCTCTTCGGTGGTGGATCAGCTGCTCCCTCAGGTGCTTTGTCGCAACCCTTGAGGTGCGTGTGAGCCCTTTTCTGTCCGGCACAGGCTGGACAGCGACCTTCCGGTATCCTAGTATAAGGCTTCGTGGCTCCTAGAGCAGTCTCCGTCGCACTGAACGACGTACCTGACTTAGGGAGATACTTCCTGGTGGAAGTGAAGCCTAGAAGGTCCAATACCAAATGGTTATTGGTACTAATCGGAAGAGGGGTTTTATACAAACCGAAAGCTTCACACGTTGCTAGGTCAGATGTGGGACTACACTCGAGGGTCATTCTTAAATTCCTCATCTGTTCGATGGAAAACAAAATGGGGACTCTCCCCTGATCCAAAACTTCTATGGTTGTATCTCTTCTTGGAGTTGTGTTGAACCATAGAGTTACACGCTCCTTGATAAGAGCTGTTTCACTATCTGCGAAAGAGAACTTCGTGTTCGAAGGTGAAAAAGTGCAATCAATCATGCCTGGGGCACGTTGCTTCACGGCCGTGATAAGCCTGTTCACCGCATAGCGGGAACCCATAGCCCTAGTACAACCAGAGTCAAGTATGACAAAGGTAGGGCTCTTATCAAGATTGATCCGCTCTGTGAGAGCAGATAGGACGGTGTGCTGCAACGGAAACACTGCTGTTGCAGTCTCCACACCTTGCCCCTCGGATGGTTCAGCGACCTGGGGCACGTAACTCACTGATGAGTTGAACACGGGTTCTTGGTGCGCGCTCGGATCTGTGCCTCTACCTGATGATCCTGCTTG